ATTAGGGACAAATTTCTTTAAGAAATATATTTAGCAAAATATTACAATATGGAAGACATCATACCCCTTCCATACAAACAACCCAATGACATCAAGATAAAATCTGCTTGTTGACTTAAAGTGACTGCAATATATATCCATTTGTATGAATGCTTATCAAATGAGGTTATAATCTTAACTTTACACATGTATTCCCTATGATAGTTAAATGCAGCAATAAAGTATCCATATTCATGAGGATACTGAACTATTTTGATAGAAAATGTTATTTACATTTTTATTATTTGTGACTGCTATCAAAAATACTCTGACATTAATGGTCCTGAAATTCATCTGTTCTATTGTTAAATGGAAGTTCTGAATGAGTAACTTAAACAAATAAATGAGTAGTAAAATACACCAATATTTGGAATGAACCAAAAGATTCCATAATAAATGGCTAATCCATGAACAAACTCTCTACAGTCACAAAGAAGCACACAATGATGCAACAGAATAAATACAGAAAGAAATACAAATGGAACATCTGGAGGACCGACTAAAGTAGCTGAGATGGCACCTGAAAAAATGGACGAGCACGAACATGCTTTAACATATTAATAGCATGCAGATAAGACAAATAAAAATATAGCAAAAAGACTGCAGACAAATGCACATAGACGAGGATCTATCAAGGACTAGGGGAACTCAAAGATCAAAAAGCATTTGATCTAAAATGTCTTTTTTTATCATTTTATTATCATCAATTTGGAGTATACATAACTGTTTTACTCCCTGGGACCAAAGGGTCCTGCAATTAACAATCTCTATTGTTTTATTGATCACGGTGTGAAAAAGGATCCCACTCTCTAGAAGCCAATGTTAATGGAAGGGATTATCTGTGATGACCAATCTTAACCATTCCAGATAGGCCTAATATGCATTCATTTCTCCAGACACCTTTTTAAAAAGTTTGGTTAGAGGTAAATATGAGTTATCATTATTAAAGCTCAAGTCCAACAAATGCCACAAGACAGTACTATTGAATACTTAAGGGTCTCTAAATATAAGAAGAAGCAATGAACACCATTCTCAGCTGTTAAAAGTAAGACATCTACAAGTAGAGCATTCCTTCAGGAGGCATCCTTGGGTTAGCCAACTTGCAAACTCACCACCAAAAGTGCACCCAGCCCCAGTAAATACAGAAGCAGTTCTACGAGAATAGCACGTGGAAGATGTGGGTGTCGTGGCCGGTGAGGGAGAGGCCAGGTTGCCGCTACCACCGCTAGTTTGATTTGCGGGACCCAGCGCAGTGAAGTTATCCCCAAACTCCCACACACAGAAACGTGATTGGGATGAGTTTGTTGGGGTTTTGTCTGAGGATGAGGATGATGTTGAAGAAGGAGGAGCAGAGGCATCTTTGGAAGAGTGGTGGTGAGTAGATTTAGGAGGCTGAGGGGTTGAGGATCTGACCCAAGAGAGGGCAGAGGGAGGGGTTTTGCGCTCCAGTGACGAGTCACGTGACTTGGTCAGCCGGGTACCTTGGGTAGTAGGGGGATGTTTTTGGTAGGTAGGGCTGCTGTCGTCCCAGTGAAACACTTCATACATCGAGCTCGACATACGCAGGTCTGTAACAACAATGTAACACTGTTGAACAGACATGCAAGGTGCAGCTTAGCAAGGGCAGTCGTAACTTTCTCTTGGAGTGAATAAAGAAGGAGCATTCTGTATGACTGACCATAGGTGTGGTGCAGTGATGAAGTCTGTGAAATGAGCAAGTGCTTGATTTGCTGTTCCAAACCCAAATGTGCTCTGTGAATGAATATACTGTGCAAATGTATAAATAACTTGATGCATCTCTTTCCACCGATCAGTAGCAATCTGGCGTATCCATATATGTAGACTTAAAATCATAAAATCCTGTGTTTGATTCATGTATGAAGGGGGACTGGAGAAATGCAATGTCCAGAGTATGACCTTATATGTGACACTGTGAGTGCATGAACTTAGAGAGTGTTAATATCTCCCATGTACAACTTCCTTCCTGTTAGTACATAGCTTGGCCTGCTGTTTACTTTGCCCTCCACCAGCTACAGGAAAATGAAGTAAACACTGTTTATGAATAAACTCGAAAAATTCAATTCCTTTGCAAAACAACATAAAAGACTAAGAATTTTAAGGGATTTGTTCAGCTTAGGTATTTATCTAACACAATCTATTTAACAACAGAACAATTTATATCAAGGAGAAAATCGAATTCAAAACCATATAAACCTAACAGAATTTTATGAGCATCTTTTTATAACTATTACTACTCAAATTCATTTCAAGATAATTACTTAAAAATTATGCATCAAGCCTAAATAACTGAAGCAAAGGAAATAACCATCACTGTAGCCAAAAAATCAATATTGCGGCAACATCAATAACAACTTGCATACACTGCCAGATAAAAAACCTCAACAAAATCTAGCACTAAGTAGGGGCAACTGGTCAAGGCCTTCTCCACTGCTGTAATAAATTTGTTAAAAAAAAATAATAACAATAAAAAAAAAAAAAAAAAAAAAGAATAACGATGATAAAAATAAAAAAATAAAAAATAAATGAAAAAGATATCCGAATATTGTATGTATTTATCAAAATACACATAAATATATCTCATATAAAAATAATGCCAGATATGTCTTTTATGCAATCAAAAATTGCACACTGACAGTAAATAAATGTGAACTTTAGGGGGCCATATATTTCACTCACAAGTATGCAACATTGCTAGGGACAGACTCCCTCTTTAGTTGAAATAAACAGAACATTGGTGCACAATCTGTGGTTATAATAGTACAAAATGCAACATAGAACTCAGGCAGCTACCTTCTGGCTTCCTGTCAAGGCTGTGGGCTGAAGTGGCGCGCTTACGGCTTAGGTCCATGTCTCCACCCTCCGATGCTCGCCTACTGATATTGGTATCTGCTAAGTGGACATTTGTCGTGGAGGTAGCCCTACATAAAAAAAAAAAGTGGAAGGGGGAAAGAAAAAAAAGATGATGAAAAATAGAGTATAACAAATTATTCACATATAATTTGTAATGGAAAACACCCATAAAAATAATCTACAATAAAATTTGAACGGGTTTGCATTCTGAACTATAATTCAATTCCACAATCTTTTGAATAACTCACCTACGAGATCCCCAGAATGTACTGACACCATCTTTGGGATCCAACATACGAGGTGTGGAACTACCAAAGGCAAATACTATGTTGCTTTTTTCATTCCGTCTTTTTGATTCCAGGCGCTGTTCACGTTCCTGTGACCAAAATCAAGGTCAAAATACATAAAGTAGAGAAAAGGAAACATAAGATTAGGAAAGAAAGAGAGAGGAAGAGAAAGGGAGAAGGGGGGAGGGGGGAGGGAGAGAGAGGGAGAGAGGGAGAGAGGGAGAGAGGGAGAGGGGGAGAGAGGAGAGAGGAGAAGAGAAGAAGAGAAGAGAAGAGAAGAGAAGAAGAGAGAGAGAGAGAGAGAGAGAGAGAGAGAGAGAGAGAGAGAGAGAGAGAGAGAGAGAGAGAGAGGAGAGAGAGAGAATGTTTTGTGTGTGTGTGTGTGTGTGTGTGTGTGTGTGTGTGTGTGTGTGTGTGTGTGTGTGTGTGTGTGTGTGTGTGTGTGTGTGTGTGTGTGTGTGTGTGTGCGCGCACTTATGGTTCTGTGCATGTACATTTGTGTAATAGAAAAGGAAAAGCCAAAAGACATAGAAACAGTTACATAGAAATCATTCTCATTAAAATTAATATTATTTCCTCAAAGTATAATCTTATCAAGAGCATTACAAAGGCTCCTTTAGCTACCTTAAATGAAGATACTAGTTACAAAGTAAGACATGTTAAGATACAAACTTTTACATAAGATTATTGAAAATAAGCAAATATGTAGATAATAAAAAATTCTAAAAATCATGATCAGTGTCTGTGATTTTTCCGGTCCCTTACCGCAGTCTTCCTTAAGACAGCTTCCCGGCGATCTTGCTCTGCCTGCTGAATTATTCGCTTGCGCTCCTCCACCTGTGAACGTCTGTCTGCATCTCGGAGCCTCATGTCCTCCAAGCGGCGCCTGCGTTCATTTTCCTGCTGCTCCCGGAATTTCTGTGCTGCTGCCGCCTGTTACAAGAGAAGACGAGAAATGTTCCTGTTAAGTTGTGGAAATTAACTCCAAACAGTTTCATTTCTTAGATGACTCACTCCAAATCTAAAGACTTGTTCTAATTAATAAAATTTTGTTTCCTCATCATCTTTCCACTACTTACATGCAAGAAAACTGAATTCCAAGCTAATGCAACAACTTTTGAACTTGTTTCCAGCTATCAGTAAAAGCTAAAACTCTCTCAAAGTCATGATTTATTTGTAATAGTGTTTTTGGGTTAAAATTTTGCTTTTAACTCAATTCTTATACTAAATTGGGGATCTACAATAGAAGAGTCAATATAAGAAATGGACAAACACCAATAAGAATGGTTGGCAGAAATGGGAAATGACTGAAGTTCCAACAACCTTTAAATGATAAAAATCAAATCTAAAATAGAAATTTGGGGGGGGGGCAAATACTGAAAAAAATAAAATAAAACCAATAAACAAAATTACTCATTATTCTGATGATCACAAATACTGGAAAATTAATTAGAATGACTGGGGCAATATGGGCACTGTGTGAATACTCTGGTCATGATCTCAGTACCACATAGAAATTAATCTAACAATTAAGAAAATTTAATGAAGCTACAGAGTATGAGGATCTGTAATATTTCAGATTTGTGATAATTCAGTTCAACATCCATGCTGGAAGCTTTCCATGAATCTGCTGTAGTCTGAGCCAAATCAGCCAAATTCATGGATTTAGAATGACCTAACCTAAGAAAAATTTGCATGTCTGTCTGCATGTCTGTCTGCATGTCTGTCTGCATGTCTGTCTGCATGTCTGTCTGCATGTCTGTCTGCATGTCTGTCTGCATGTCTGTCTGCATGTCTGTCTGC